ATGGGAGCTCAGCAGTCCCCCTTTGAGGAATTTCTCCCCCAAATGCTGCCCCACTGTGCAGACAGAGATGCCCCAGGACGCTCCCAGCCCGCCACCGGAAGAGCAGAAAACGTGAAACCACCCACATGTCCATCCGTTGGTCAAATGAAGGAAGCCAGACACAAACTGGTGAAAATCATGTATTTTTTAAACTACAGACACCTGCCCAGGGTAAAGTAACTGGCAGCCGTGTACCTGCCACTGGGATGAACGCGTGTTAGTGTTCTGTTACGTTTACTTCAGATCTCTTTAAAAAAGAGTAGACACAGAGGTTTTCCCTCCTCCTCATTCATTTCCCCAGAGCAAATGTTGCAAGAAAAAAGTGTGTGTGGACACTTTTCTGAATTTACTCCCAACATGAAAATATGCATACCTAAATCACAAAATTTAGTGTGTGCTCCTTATTTTATTGTGTAATATATGATATATATCATAATTTATATATAATATAAAATGGTGAACATAAAATTCACCATTTTAATCATTTTTAAGTGCACAGCTCAGTGGCATGAAGCACATTCACACTGTTGTACAACCATCCCCACCATCCATCTCCAGAACTTTCCATCTTCCCAAACCGAGACTCTGTCCCCACGAAACACTGACTCCCCCTCCCCTCCCCCAGCCCCTGGCCGCCACCATCCACTTTCTGTCTCTGTGGATGTGACTCCTCTAGGGACCTCCTGTGAGGGGATCACACAGCGTCTGTCCTTCTGTGTCTGCCTCATGTCACTGAGCATCACGTCCTCCAGGTCCATCCACGTTGGAGCAGGTGTCAGGATCTCCTTCCTTTTCAAGGCTGAGTAATATTCCAGCGTGTGGATGGACCACATTGTGTTTATCCATTCATGTGTCAATGGACACTTGGGGTGTTTCTATCTTTTGGCTGTTGTGAATCATGCTGCTGTGAACATGGCTGTGTAAATATCTGTACAGTCTGTTTTAACTTAAAAACTATAATTACATATAATAGTATATACACAGAAAAAATATGGCAACATGGACATTGCCTGGTAGAGTGGAGACCTGGGCATCGGGCAGGGACCATGGGGACTTCGTTCTGTCACAGATGCCATGTGACCTGTAATTATGTCACTCGCTTATTACTTATTGTTGTTCATCCCCCAAGAGTTCTTGAACTTCCAGGGGGCTGAGGCTGGGGCCCCCAAAGTAAGGTACTCCATGTGTGCTCGATGAATGAATGAATGAACTTCCCGTGACCCACTGCTCTGTAACGGGGGCTGGCAAACCTTCTCTGTGAAGGCCCACATAGTAAATGTTTGGGTTTTTTTCAACCATTTAAAAATGTAAAAATTAAAAAAAAAAAAAAATGTAAAAGCCATTCTCAGCTCACAGGATGAACCAAAACAAACAGCACAGGGATGTGACCCCCAGGCTGTCCTCTGCCAGCTCTATAACGTTCCAGCGTTTTGATCCAATGTGTCACCTTTCTAGTGAGAAAATAAATATATATATTTTAATCCTTTAAGACTGTGGTCTGGAGGCAGACACACCCCTGTTCGCATCCCGTCTGCCACCGACTCAGTGTGTCCTTGAGGAAGCCGCCTTCCCTCTCCGCTTCTCGGTCTGCAGGCTGCGAGGCGCAGATAATAACGGCACAGGCCGGGCTCTCTAGGGAAGAGCCGACACCAGGAAGGACCACGTGTCAATCATCCGCGGCCATTAGCGGGGCAAGAGTGATCACTGCCTTTGAGAAGAGGAAGCAGAAAGTGGGGCAGAACCACTCAGCCGGGTCGCCAGCTGGCTTGCACCGCACCCTCGGCCACTCTCGGGGCTGGAGCCCAGGTTATATCTAGGTGATCACTGGGAGGTAGCACCATGGCCAGACACCGGGAGGTCCCTTATGCCCCGGGGCACCAAAGCCACAGGGGAGGCTCCCAGCTGACCGCCCCTCACAGCTCCCTCTCAGGGTCTGTGTGGTCAGCAGCCTCCGAGAGTGATCCCCACCCCTGTGGACCCGGCTTCTAACCAACAGAATACGGCCAGGGTAGGGGCGTCACCTGTGTGATTAGCTTGCCAACCATTCTGACTTCTGTCTTGCTAGAAGCAAGTTATGTCAAGGAGGCCCTCTGGCCAACAGCCCGGAAGGAACTGAATGCTACCAACAGCCAGTGGGTGAGCTTGGAGGTGACCCTTCCCTGGCCGAGCCTTCAGATGAGCCCCCAGCACCAGCCAGCACTTGGCAGCAGCCTCGAGAGAGCCTGTAGAGCAGAGGACCCAGCTAAGCTCCGCCTGGATTCTGACCCGCAGATACTGAGATAATAAACGTGTGGTGTTTAATCGGCTACATTTTGGGGTCATTTGTTACACAGCAGTAGCTGACAGACACAGTCTGCCTTCTCCCATCTTGGGCAGGGCATTCCTTGAGTTGGCGGCATTTAGTGAGTGTCGGCTGTCTGCACAAGATGCACAAGGATGCTGGGATATAGGCCTGCAAAGTGCCCACCATGGTGGCTGGGGGCAGGGAAACCAGACAGGATGAAGTCACAGGAGGCAAACAGCAGCGTGAGCCCCACCCAGATGCCAGAGAAGGTGTGGGCTCAAGCATGAAGTAGAATGAGAAGGCATCCAGGCCAGGGGAGAACAGAAGCTATCCAGGCAGAGGGAAGAGCATGTGCAAAAGCCCTGGGGCAGGAGCGACACAGGAGCCCTGCAGGAGGTGGACAGGGGCCGTGGGAAGGAGTCTGCAGGCCAGTCAGGGCTGTGAGCAGCCATCCATAGATGGACACAGAGGTGCAGGGAAGGGATTGAACTCCACAGCTGTTTAGGAGGCTGCTTGGGTTCAAACTCTGTGACCTCAGCCTCTCGGGCCCTCAGTTTCCCCACATATTCAATGGATTGTGCAAAAGACTTGTCAGGAATGGAATGTCCAGGGCTCAGGACTGGTCGCCCCGTGTGCAGGTAGATGGGATGGGGAAGTCACGTTTCAGAGCCTGGAGGCTTACCCGGCTCAGCTTGGGGTCGGTCCCAAGGAGGCAAGCAGAGGACGCAGCTGACCCGAGGGGCTGCCCTGGGTTGGTGGGGCAGTAGGGGTGAGCCCCATATCCCTGACTTCCCCAGGCATGAGGGTCAGGAGCCTGCTGGGACTGGCCGTCAGCCCCAGAACTGGAGACCTTTGTGCACCGAGTTCCCCATCAGGATCCTGGGGTCTCAGGTGACCCCCAGCTTATGCAGCTGTGAAGTGAGCTCATGAAGGGGAGAAGCAGCTGGGTAGTGGTCAGTGGGGCGGCCAGGGTTCTAACCCCAGGTCCCCATACCGCCACCCTCGTGTCCACGAGACTGCCAGCTTTGCCTCTTGGAGCCTCAGTTTCCCCATGAGTAAAATGAGGTTAATAAAAACCCACTGCAGCATCTCTGAAGACTAAACCATTTTAGATACTTAAGGCACTTCCAACTGCGACTGAAAAACCAGGAGATCCTCACACCCCAGCAAGGCGGGGG